TCACAAAATGTGGCCATTGCTTCCTGGAGACACAAAGCACATGTCCTTGTGAGATGGAGATGCTGAACAGCACAGCTTTGCCTGTGAACTGCCACAGCAGGAGCCCCAAGATCAGCTTCCCAGCTCTGCAGGGGAGCAGGGTTTGTCAGAACACCCTTGGGAAAAGTGTACAGTGAGACATGAGATTTGGCAGCAGATTGTGGGGCTGAGCAGCTCCTTGCACCCTCACATTGCAAACGTTGCTGTTGCTGAGCCTTGAGAGTGGAGGGACACTGGCATCAAAGCAGCAAACCCCCAGGAGACCACCCTGCCCAGAGGGGTGGGTGCTCAGCCAGAGGCTGGGCCTGCTCCCCATTGGGCCAAGGCCATCATAAGCCCCCTGCAGAACAACTCTTGAGACCCATATGTAACTTTTGAGGGTGGCCACGAGGTCTCTGGCCTGTGCCAATCCCATAACTTGTGAATGAAAGCAGCATCTCGTCAGTGGAAATATAAGAGGACGTGAGAAAACCCAAGGGGGCTGCTTAGAGAGACCTAAGAGCCTGAGCTGACAGGTAGCTAGAGGCAGTGAGCTCACTTCTAACATGGGGCTGTGCAATCTCACCCTTGGCCTCACCATAAACTCAATTACTCATCCAGTGACACTTGCTAATCAGGATGGCTCCCCAGGGAGCCAGGAGTGTGCCAGGCACTGCTTCTCCCAGCTGCACTGAGCCTGAGCAGGATGGCATAGCATAGTTTCCCACAGCAGAAGGCTGGCACAGCCCCTGCAGCATGATGCAGGCAGGGGTATCCCCAGGATGCCAGGTAGCACTGACAGTCTTCAGGGACAGGGACCCATGGGCCTCAGGGACAACACACGTCTACAGTACTGAGCCACTGCTGCTTGACCTCCCTGGGAGCTTCGGCCTCTTGGCTGAGCCTGCTTGGGGTGCACAAGCCTCTGATTTCACCCTGGCATCTCCTCCAGTGCCTTGGGTTTGCAGGGGAAGCAGTTACCAGGCTGGTGTGGCACAAAGCCCTGTGGTTTTGGCCGGGAGCAGCAAGAGGAAAGCAGGAGGCAGCTTTTCCTCCATCGCCGTGGCAAAAGCTTACACAGAAAGTGGGTCTGTCAGGCCAGCCTAGCACTGCTGGAACATGTCAGCTTCATCTGAGCTGGGCTGGGGAGATGATGGGGATGGCAGTGTGGTCTGGCCAGTGGTATTTGCTTTGTGTCAGTTGCTGCTGCAGCACTGCTCTGTATTTCGTATCCTATCCTTTCCACCCAAAATGCATGTTAATAGTGGCTCTTTGAGGGCTTCCCACCCATGGGACATATACATGTATGAGGGATCTGCACTTCCACCTGCCCATCCTGCCCTGTAGCCTGGGACCCTGGAGAACCCATTCCCACCAAGACGCTCCTCTGCGGTGGCATACCCCATATAGGCACTATCCTGACCAAGCAGGACTTTTCTCATGCCTCTCCAGGCAGGGTGCAGAGCCACAAGATGCTTGAGGGGTGCTGCTTTTCACACCAGCAGCACTGCTCACTGTGTGGGTCAGACACTGCCAGGCAGAGCAACCCCTGGTACCAGTGTGACCACCACTGCTGGGTGGTCAACACTGCCCACAGGGATGTGGGATCACCCCAGTTTCTCTGGGGCAGCCAGTCAGGGTTGCACAGAGGAGGTTATCCAAAGTGCTCATGTGTGTGAGGATGCCCCAGCACCCAGGCGCTGCCCAAGGCACACACAGGCAGCACCCAGAGGGACAGCATGAGAGACTCCATCTCACCAGCACCACCAGGGTGCTTGGAGCAGCAGCAGGGCCAGAGCCCCATCCTGCAGAACAGCAGGCGAGCGCCTAAGCCTGCCCTTTCCCTTCCCACAACCCTGCTTCATTTATCACACACCTCCCAGTCTGCAGCAGATGAGTGGGGGGGCCCTGCCGGCAGCGGCCTCCGTCACCACACAGCCTCACCTCCCTCCCCAGGGCTTGGGGCCCATCCTGTGTGCAGAGCGAGGCAATGCCCTGGGGGAAAATGTAGTATGTGGTGATGTAATTAAAGGCTGCATCATTAACACGTGTGCAGGGCATGAACAGTTGCTCTTTATAGAGTGCTTGACTTTCCCGTGCTATGTTCATGGGTGCTTAACTCCACAGCAGACATACCTCTGGGAAGTGGAGCACCCTCAGCAGCATGGCCATGAAGAGAGCTGGGGAGCACAGAGGGCTCTGGTGTGCTCCAGCCCCATGTAGAGACTGGGCCTGAGGGTGACCTGTCTGCTATAGAGACATCACCATCCCATGTGCATCAGCTGGAGCTGCTGCAGAGGTCTGCAGCACGGCTACGTGCAGGTCTGTGGGAACATGCAAGTGCTGCTCCCCATGCTCCATAGCCCAGCCAAAATCAGCTCCTTTAGAGGGTATCCTTGTCTCTCAGTGTAGGCAGAGCAATGTATTCCTCCCTTAATCTCTTTTCTGGAAACAGCTATGCCATTTGGGCTTTGACTGCATGAAAAAGCTCACACCAAGACAGACTTCTGGCACACGTTTTTACCCCAGCAGCCAAAAGTTTGCTAGCAGGGAAGCCAGCCTGTCCTGCCCGCTCCCACTGCAAGCCAGGGGGGCTGTTGTGCTGCTGACCGTCCCCTCTGTCCCCCAGGACTACTGGCTGTCCCTGCTCTACAAGCGCCTCATTGGTCCCAAGGTGCTGGCGATACACGTGGCCGGTCTCCAGAGGAAGCCCCTGCCTGGCAGGGTCATTCGTGACAAGCTTCGCATTTACGCGCACTGCACCAGCTACCACAAGTAAGAGGGCTAAGGGAGGTTGGAGGTGCAGGGTGGGGATAAACAGGACCCCCAGCATATGGGGACCATCGCAGACATGCTGGGCAAGGCGGGTTGGCTTCCCAGGCTACTCTCTCGGGCGCTGCTCTGGCGCTGTCACAGCAGAGGGAGCGCACGGGAACAGTGATGCTTCCGATGAAAGTCACGGCAAGCCCGCGTCTGGGAACGGGGCCGGCCGGGGCTGGTGCAGTGGCCACCGGGCAGCCCAGGCAGCAGAGATCAAGGGGGTGGATTTCACACGAGGGGCCCCCGGTCGGTCGGGTTACCCGCAGCCCGCACTGCCAGGGAGCCCGGCCTGGTTATTGTTTCGCTGATAAGGTCTTTGAAAGCGCCCCAGCGAGCCGGGTGGGGGCAGCCACCTCCTCTGCAGACACAAGTTGCTATTGTGGAGGAGGAGAGACTGTTTCTTTACACAGACCAGATGCTTTCAACATGCCTCCAGCTCAGTAGGAAACCTTGTCCAGTAACTGACAGGTGCAAAGTGCTTTATAGCCTTTGTTTGGGGCTGCCTGATTAGGCAGGGAGAGAGGATCAGTGTCTGGACCTGTCATTTAGGTGCCCAGAGTGGTGGGGGCAGATGCCACTCATGCAAAGAGCTCCCCTCCGTTCTCAGCCCCCTCATTGCAGGGCTTTGGGGGAGCTGTCCTGAGATTGCCACCCCACTTAGGACAGCAGCACAGCACCCTCTTAAGCTGTGCCACCCCTGGCTAAAGAGGGGGAGGCTGGAAAGGTGTCATTGTGGAGCTGGGCTTCATGATGGGGAGGTGGCATCTCCATGTGGAGGGACAGCCAGGACAGTGATCCTGGCTGTCCTGATCACAGTGATGTCCCCTCTGGATGGCTGCATGAGGCCAGTTTTACAGAGACCCCCCAAACCCCTTCTTGGAGGCGATGCTCCTTGGGCCCGTGCCAGCACAGCCCTCAGCTCTTGCTCTCCCCTTTGCAGCCACAACTATGTCCGCGGGTCCATCACCCTTTACATCATCAACCTGCATCGATCCCGGAAGAAAATCAAGCTGGCAGGGACGCTGCGGGATAAGATCGTCCACCAGTACCTGCTGCAGCCCTACGGCAAGGATGGGCTCCACTCCAAGTAAGTGCCATGCTAGTGGCTGGGGCTGCCACCACTGCCCTGTCCTCGATGCCACCACCCTGACCCTCTCTTGGTTGCACAGGTCAGTCCAGCTCAACGGACAGCCGTTGGCCATGGTGGACGATGGGACCCTCCCCGAGCTAAAGCCTCGTCCTCTGCGCGCTGGCCGCACCCTGGTCATCCCTCCGCTGACCATGAGCTTCTATGTGGTAAAGAACGTGAATGCGCTGGCCTGCCGGTACCGATAACCCACGGCTCAGAACTGACCAACCGGCCCAGCTCCTGCCCCTGCGCACTCCCCAGGACACGTTGCCTCCTCGGCAGCCCGCACAGCCGGGCCACGTCGGGCGGGCATCGTGACGTGCTGTTGTCCTCGCACCGTCCGGCTCGGCACCCTCTCCTGACCTATGACTGCAGAGCTCTGCTTGGCCATGGCCACCATCCGTCGGAGCGGTGCGGTGGCGAATTCGCAGGGCCTGCCGCCATCCGTCCCACAAGCTGCAAGAAGCACCCGGGGTCCGGTGCCCACCGGCTGTCGGGAGGGCTGGGGCACCCTATCCCTGACTCCTCAGGGTGACCCTCCAGCAGCCAGGTCCCCCTTTGGTTTTCACCTCCCAGGACGGCGGGCAGCGCTGCCGGCGCAGAAAGCGCATGGAAGCAGCTCCCTCTGCTGCCGTCAGCCTGACCGGGACAGGCGCGGGGATGCTGCCGGGAGAAGGGGCGCCGGGGGCCACACGGGGCGGGGATCGAGGGGCCACGGCTGGAAATGCTGAGAATTAAATGATACAGCCCGGAGCGGAGCGGAGGGAGGCGGTGCCGGCGGGCAGCCCCGGCCCCTCCCGGGCGGGGAGCGGCAGTCGGTGAATGTGTCCTGCCCGGGAGGGGGGCGGTGTCGAGGGCAGGAGCAGCAGGGGCGCGTCGAGGCGCTACCGGAGGTGTAATAAAGTTGGGCTGTCAAACGCGCCGGTGTCTTCTCTCCGCCACGGGCCGGGGCAGGGGCCAGCGGGGAGGAGCGGGCGGCCCCGACGCCGGTGACTGGGTTCCGCGGTGCAGTGCCGCGCCGGACCGCTGGGGGCGCTGCGGGTACTGCGGTCACGCGCGCGGAGCAGGAAGCGGAGTGGGGCGGGTGGAGCCGCGTGGTCCTGGTGCCCCTCCGCCGCCTCGGCTGCTGCTGGGGGTCGGGCCGGGCTGGGCCGGGCCGTGCCATGCGGTGCGTCCTGATCGCCAGCACCGCGGCCGAGCTGCTCTTCTACTGGGCTGATGCCGCCTTCCTCCGCCGGCTGCGGCCGCCCCACGGCGGGCAGGTGGGGCGGGACGGGGCGGGTGCGGGAGTGGAGGGGGTGCGTGGTGCGCGGCCGCTGACCCGGCAGCGTGTGCCCCAGGGTCCGGCGCTGGAGGACAGCCTCAACACCCTTTTCGCCCCCCTCATCATCTCCTGCACGGCTCTGTTGGAGAAGCTCGCCGACACCTACACTTGCTTTGCGACAGAGCGCGGGCGGCACCTCCACGTCCTGCACATGGTAGGACGGGCGCCGGGAACCGCGACCGGGGCGTAACAGCCGGCCCCGACCTAACCCCGCTGGCGGTTGCAGTTCGGGGACTGCCTGTACATCGCAGTGAACGGCGACGGGACGGAGAGCGAGGATGACCTGCGCCGGACGCTGTTCGTGCTGCGGCGCTTGGTGGAGATCCACTGCGGCCTCGTCACGCTCGACTCCCACCTCGTCCGCAAGGAGTGAGTGGGCACGGCTGGCATGGGCTGGCCCCCCGGGGTTGAGGGGCAGCTGACTTCATGGAGCCCCGGGGGGAGGTGGGATCAGGTGTCTTCAAGCTGAGACCCCCCGTTTTTGCATCAGGACCCCCTGCCTGCTGGGCTGCAGCTGGATCTTGGGGTGCCCGTCCCCCCGCAGGGAGGTGACAGCCGTCAGTCAGCTCTCTCTCTGTGGCTGTTCCAGGTTGCGACCGGCCGATTCGGAGCAGCGGGAGCGTGTCTGGAGCCTGCTGCGCGGCCTGCTGGAGACCTACAGCCGCCTGCGGGAGGAGGACCAGAGCTTTGCGGTGGAGGTACCATGTGCTGGGGTGTCCGTCGCCTTGGGGCATCCCAAGGGTGTGCTGCTGCACGGAGTCTTGGGATGTGGGGAACAGCTTTTGGCCAGGGACTTCGAGGGAGCCCCCTGGAGCAGTGGAAGCTTCGACCTGACCCCAGGGCTGTGTGGCTGGGTCTGGGGGGCTAAGCAGCTTTCCCCCCTCCCTGCATCCCAGGCCATGGAACGGCTGATCCACCCTCAGCTGTGCGAGCAGTGCATCGAGTTCCTGGAGCAGCAGGTGGTGCAGTACATCAACTCCAGCCCTGAGCGTGGTGGGGATGAGGTGTGTCATGCCTTCCTCCTGGTGCACACCAAGCTGCTGGCCTTCTACTCCAGGTGAGTCCGGCCCCACCACTCTCCCCTGGGCAGCTGCTCTCCCTCCCAGTTCATCCTTCCCTTCTCTGTTCTGCAGCCGCAACACCAGTTCCATCCGCCCCGCTGACCTGCTCATCCTCATCCTCCTAGTGCAGGACCTGTACCCCAGCCAGAGCATCGAAGAGGAGCTCAGCCCCCAGGTGCTCCAGAGCAGGGTGTGGGGCACAGTGGGTCGGGATGCCCCCATGAGGTGATGTCTTGGGAGAGCTTAATTTTTTTCCCCCTGTGGAAGCCCACAGCAGAGAAGGTGCTCCCCCAGGGACCCAAGAGAAGTGAGAGCATTCCAGTGAGCAGCCCTGGCTCCCATGGAGCTGCAGAGAAGGACTCGGATGACCAGGTGAGTCCCTGGGATGGGGACCTGCAGGCTGGGCTGTCTGCATCACTCCCATTGCTGACCCAGCCATTCCCACTGGCAGGACACAGATGATCTCTCTGTCCCTGAGGTCTACTACACTCCTGAGCCTTCTCCAGGCAGGCACAGCACAGGTGAGTGCCCAGCAGGGTAGCAGCCCCCTCCCTTCATGTGGGGGCGGCAGGGAGAGCAACCTGCCATGCTCCCTGCAGGCAGTGAGAGCTGGTCAGAGGGCACTGAGATGCTGAGCACCGGGGAGGTGGATGCTGCAGATGTCCAGGTGAGCAAGGGGTCCTGCAGTCCCTCCTGGCCTGTCGTGGTGCTCTTGTGGTCCCTGTTCCTTGTCACTTGTCACACAGAGCTGTGTGCTGCGCTGTGGGTGCCCCCGGCTCTAGGGTTAGGGGGATGCCCTGTGTCTGCCACATTGCATAACTGTGACACCACTGACCACCCTCTGAGGCACTGCTTACAGTCTCTGTGTCCATAAGTGCCAGCGCAGAGGGGCTGGGGCTCGCTCAGAGCAGTCTGGTGTCTGCTGCCTCTGGGCTTTCTGGGCTGCTTCCCTGACAAATGCCACAGAGCCTCACACACTCTGTGCAAGCAACTGGGAGCCTGGACAGAAGGCATTTGCAGCCTGTCTTTGCAAGCAGCTTACCCACTACTTGCTGCTCTTTTGGGGCCCCTGGGCACTTTGCTCACTGCTGATCTTTTGTCACGTGATCTCTCCAGCTCCCTTGGTAAAGTCATGCCTGTTTGCAGCTTTCAGGGCATTGCTGTGGGCTGTCCCATCTCTTCAGGGGCTGAGCATCTCCTTTCTCTCCCTAGATGGCGGAGGACTTGCTCCAGACCTTGGGGCCTCTGGTCCCTGAAGCTTCAAACCCCAGGAGGATCTTCCTGGATGCCAACCTGCGGGAAGGTTACTGCCCCTTGCTGCCACACACCATGCACTGCCTCCCACTCTGGCCGGGCATCTCCCTCATCCTCCTGACCAAGGTGAGCTCACTCCAAGGTGAGGGATGTGACACTGTGCTGGGTCCTGGCTCACCCATATATCCCTTCCCCAGCAGGGCCCGATGACCCAGGTGGCCATCACCTTGTACCAGCTGCTGGATGGTTTCTTGGTGCTGGAGAAGAAGCTGGAAGAGGGGCCAGAGGCAGGAGCCCCACGCTCCTACACATTTGTGCCTGAGCTGCGGCAGCGCATGGACAAGTTTGTGAAGAAGCTGAGCGGGCAGGACATCCAGGTGGGAGTGGGGATGCGAGGGCCCCATCCTGCTGTCTCCACTGCCTGATGCTGAGCCTGGTCTCTCTCTAGTTGCAGAACACCTGGGTAGACTTCAAAAATAAGATGTTTTCCCGGACCGAGCCTGGAAGCTCCCTGGAGTGAGTATGGGATAGGTAGGGAAAGTCTCCAGGGCAGGCTGGGGGCAGCATGGCTGTCCCTGCAGTGCTGGGGACCCAGGGGCCAAACTCAGCAGCATCCGTGTCTTCCGGCTCAGGCTGCTGCAGGCAGTGTCCAACATGAAGCGGCAGCTCTGCTCTGTGTACCGCCAGCTCTTCCTGACTTCTGCCAGCCACAGCCTGTCCCAGGGGCTGAGGGACCGTGCCCAGAAGCTGATGAAGTGGGTGCATGGGGTGGCCAGCATCCCCAGGGGACTGCCCCGCACCCAGCTCTGCTGGGGCTTGGTGGGTCCTGGCCTCCCACTGTGCTTCCGCTTGGCAGGGAGAAGCTGCTGGACTGGCGCGACTTTCTGCTGGTGAAGAGCAGGCGCAATATCACCATGGTGTCATACCCATCCCTGCAGCTGGGAGCCCAGCCCGGCGAGGAGGGGTCCCCAGGGGGGTAGCAGAGGTGGGAGTGTGACAATGTACCCCCATCAGTGGGCTCAAGGTGGGGAGCGTGGTGGGCGAAGGGGCTGTCCTGGGAGGGCACCAAAGTTATTGGACGCCCTTAACCTACCCCACGTACCTGGAGGACTTTCCTGGCCTGGTGCACTTCATCTATGTGGACCGCACGTCTGGGCAGATGATGGCACCATCGCTCAGCATCACAGAGAAGTCCAGCTCAGAGCTGGGCAAGGGCCCCCTGGCCACCTTTATCAAGAGGAAGGTACTGCTTGTGGGGCTAAGGGTGGGATGGGGGACCCCAGGAGGCGGTGATGGTTGGAGGGGTTTCTGCTCAGGTTTCAGGTGCCCCTTGTCCCCCAGGTCTGGTCCCTAATCACACTGGCCCGGCGATACCTACAGAAGGGCTACACGACGCTCATGCTGCAGGATGGCGACTACTGCTGCTCCTACTTCCTCTGGTTTGAGAATGAGCTGGTATGTGGGGTCAGATAAGGGCTGAGCCTCTCTTCCCCAGTACCTTCTCAGGGCAGGACTATAGGCACAGTTGGCTTCAGCTCTTTGGCAGTCTCTTGCCTGCTCCTGCCCTCTCCTGTCATCTTTCCCAAGGGCTACAAGCTGGAGGTGATGGAGGTGCCAGTTCTCTCTGATGATTCTGCTCCCATTGGGATGCTGGCAGGAGACTACTACAGGTGAGCTGTCCCCAGCCATGTTGCTTGGCACCAGGGCCTGGGGCTGTTAGTGATGCTGTCCGCACTGGGATGTCATTGCAGGATGGTACCAGTGCTGTGGTGTCACCAGGCTTGCACCAGCCAATCTCCCCAGCCTGGTGTGGGTGTCCTGTCAGTATACGGGCGCTGTGTCCTTGCCTTCCTTTCTAGGGGGAAGGTGGTTAAAAAGGGAGTACTAGTCTGCACTGTACCTGCTGAGCCCCCCATCTTCTCTCCAGGAAGCTGCTGCGTTACTATAGCAAGAACCACCAGGCAGAAGTGGTGAAGTGCTATGAGCTGCTGACCGTGCACCTCGGCATCATCCCCTCTGAGCTCGTGGTCCAGCAGGCCTGCGACTTGGCCCGGCGCCTCTGGGAGCCCTCCCGCATCCCCCTGCTCTGAGCTGCCTCCAGCCACCTCGGGGCCAGGATTAAAGCAGGGCTGTGGGTGTTCCCAATGCATAGGCTGGTTTCTCGGTGTCTGTGCTGTCAGCTGTACCTGTAGGCAGCCTTCCCATCCTCCTGCCCTGCTCCCCATGGGCTTCGCTGGCACCCAGCAGCCTTCGGGGACGGGTGGAGAGTGGGGCTGAGAGGTTGTTGGCAAATCACCATCTTGCTGAAAAGTGCGTTTCCAAAGAAGGATTTATAGCACTAGCTTGGCATTGCTGACAGGCTTTGGCTAGAGAAGAAAACAGCATAGCCAAACTTGCCCATGGTGCGCCCCCCTCTCCTCTCTCCCCAGATGTGGGGTGCAGGGCCCTCAAAGGCTTGGGCAGGGTTGGGGAGGTTCAGACCTGGGCTCCCAGGCACCGCTCGGCCATGGAGCCAAGCCCAGCTATGAAGAGGGGCTGAGGCAGCTCATGTGTTTCACAGGTGCCGCTGGGCTCAGTACACATGCAAACCCGTTGGGCACATCTAGGGATGGGGTCAGCCCCAAGGGACTCTGGCAGCGGCTGCCCCTTGTCACTCCATGCTGCTCACTAGGGTTGGGTACAGCAGTTCAGGGAGCACTGGACCATGTCAGGGCCTTTGCCCCATCCTGCTGGGCAGGAATTTGCCCTGCTGAGTAACAGCACTGGGTTGGGGCCAAGCACACCCCCAAGCTGCCCCTTTTCCCACTGCTCTCAGTGGGGCTTGTGTTTTAGACTTACCTGCTCGAGGGGGGCTAAGTTCCCCTTATCCTGCAGTGCTTGTTGGCCCATCACACCAGATCACACCAGACACATGTCCCTGGGTTCTTCTGGAGCACATCAGGGGATGGGGGGCTCTCAGGCCCCCGCCTCCCTGCCCAGCACCTTCCTGGGTATAGACTGGGGAAGGTGCTGGGCAATCTTCCTCAGTCTGTAAGGACCACCTTCCATCCTGCTGAGCACCAGGCAGGATCCAACCCTGTTACCTTCTCGACGCCGGGGCTGGTCTGCAGCCCCCCTGCACGCCCTCAGCAAATCTCTGCCAGGATCAGCGCCTTGTCACAGGCAGCACCAGCGGGGCAGTGTTCAGTGCGTGTCCCTGTCCTGAACCGGCTCTCGCAAGCCCTGGCACACAGTGTCCGTCCCTGAGTGTTGCCCCCCCACACACCCCCCGCATGCCCGGAAGCCCTGGGAGAAGTTCCGCTGTGGAAGCAAAGTCCAGGCTGCCCGGGGAAGCCGTGGCCGGGCGCTCGCTGGGCGATGGCAGGCGGGCACTGGGCAGGAGCGGGCAGGGTCTGCGCTGCCCGCTGGCTGCGGGGCTGGCTCCTTGCCCCAGCGCCGCCGGGAGCCCGGCGGGCCCATGCTGGAGCTGCAGATCGGCTGCAGAGGGAGTACGACGTGGTGGTGATCGGGGCAGGTAATGCTGGGGGAGGGAGCCAGCGCTGGGCTGTGGGGAGCCGGTGGGGACGCCAAGCCGCCCTCCCCTCAGGGCAGGCAGGAGGGTAATGGCCGGATGGGGACCACAGCGGCGCAGGGCACACTGCAGAGCCCTGGCACGCTCCTTGTGCCAGGGAGGACGCTTGGGTCTGGTATGGCCAGGCGCATGTTGCATCCCCGCAGTGCGCATCTGCCTTGAGCAGCTCTGTCCCCTACCCTTGCACCGTTAGGGCTAGGGCTAAAGGGAGAGGGGAGGATGCTGCTTGTCACCTACATCCACATGTCCAGAGCCCCATTATTTGAGTCGTTGTGGCAGCCTCGTGCCCCAGGCATGGCAGGGTGCCCTGTGCATGAGACCACCCCAACACTGGGCTCACCTCACCTCATTCTCTCCTTGCAGGGCACAATGGGCTGGTGGCAGTGAGTACCAAGAGCACAGTGGTGCTGTCTCTTCTCCATCCCTGGGCAAAGTGGAGGAGCAGGGAGGGTGTTGGTGGCAGTGTCCATGGCACTGGGGGCTCCCACAGGGCTGTGGGAAGCAGGGCCATCCCTGGTGAGAGGATGCTGGGGATGACAAGGACATATCCCACCTGGAGGGATGGGCAGTGTGATGCTGTGTTCCCTGCAGGCTGCCTACCTGCAGCGGGCAGGGCTGCGCACGGCTGTGCTGGAGAAACGCCATGTGCTGGGCGGTGCGGCTGTCACGGAGGAGATTGTGCCAGGTACCCCTGTGTATCCCCTGTCCCCACACCCCTGGCCAGCCCTGCACATGGGCACCCCCCACTGCCACACAACTTTCAGGCTTCAAGTTCTCCCGGGCATCCTACCTGCTCAGCCTGCTGCGGCCACAGATCTACACCGAGCTGGAGCTGCAGGTACCGGCACCCATCCCTCACTGGCTGCTGGCCCCTCCTGGCACACTGACAGGGTGAGCCCGCTGCCGGGCAGCAGCATGGGTCCTGCCATCCCTGTCTTGCAGCGGCATGGTCTGAGGGTGCTCCCACGGGACCCCTACTCCTTCACCCCGCTGCTGGAGGATGGGAGCCCCCCTCGTTCCCTCCTGCTGGGAAACAACAGGGCCCAGACCCAGCAGCAGATCGCTCAGTTCTCCCAGAAGGATGCCCAGGTACTACTTGGGGGCAGGCACCCAGTATGGCAAAGCCTCTGAAGGGGCTGCCCTGCCCATGGAGCAGCAGCGTATCCATCTCACCCAGCATGGCGCAGTCCCCATAGTCTCCCTCTATCCCCTTTCAGGCTTATCCTGAATATGAGGCGTTCATGGAGAGTTTAGTGTCAGCCCTTGACCCGCTGCTGGATGCTGCCCCAGTGGATACAGCTGCCTTGGGGCAGGGCTCCCTGCTCCAGCGGCTTAGTGCTCTGCGATCCCTGTGGCCCCTGCTGCGAGCAGGTACCTCTGGGGTGCTGGAAGACGCCGATGGCTGCTCTTCCCTAGGGCACAGGCTCCTCAGGAGCCCCAGCTGGGGGCTTGGTCCTGCTGCCTGACCCCCAGACCCAGCTGGGCATGAGCAGCTTGCCCTGGCACAGCCATGTAGGTCTCACACCACCTCTCACCCCCAGGGCTGGCACTGGGGCGGCAGCTGCCCCGCTATTACGAGGTACTCACAGCTCCTATCTCCAAGGTGAGTGCTGGCAGTGGCAGTGTGGAGCCACCAGCTGCCTCGCTGCCTGCCTGCAAGGGTGCTGTGGAGCCCCCAGCCCCAAACCTGATGCTCTCTTTTATTCCTGGCCCAGATCCTGGATCAGTGGTTTGAGTCGGAGCCCTTGAAGGCAACTCTGGCTACTGATGCGGTGATTGGAGCCATGGCTAGCCCCCACACCCCAGGCAGTGGGTGAGGGTCCTTTCCCCCTGGGTGGCTGCGTTGTCCCCTCATGTCATCCCGTGCCAGCAGCTCCTTGGCTCTGCTGCAGCCCAGTACCCTATTCCCTGCCTAGCTGCCTGTCCCTCCCATTGCCTGCTCAGCTTTGCCTGGATGGCTCAGGGGTTGGGGCTGGGCAAGGGGCTGCTCCCCATCCCTGCTATATGGCTCTCCTAAGTGGTCCTCACCAGCCCCTTTGCTGTTTGAACACCTCTGTCCCCAGGTCAGGTCAAGTCCTGACCAGTGGGTGCTGCCTGTAACTGAGCTGACATCCTGTAAGCTGGCATGGTCCCATCTGTGGGGGCTATGGCACCATCCTCCCTGTGCCCAGGCAGGGGACAGACCTGTCACGTTGACTGGTGGCTGACCTGGGGTCCTGCCACCACAGGTACGTGCTCTTGCACCATGTGATGGGCGAGCTGGAGGGACGGCGGGGGGCCTGGGGCTACGTGTCCGGTGGGATGGGAGCCCTGTCCCACGCCATTGCCCATGCAGCAGCTGCCAGGGGAGCCCACATTTTTGCTGAGAAGGTACGGGGTGCCTGGGGGGGCAGCCTGCAGGCACTGGGGATGCTCTTGGTGAAGTCCTGTCCCCTCTGCCTGCCCAGGCCGTGTCCCATGTGCTGCTGGGCAGGGACGGGCAGGCGCAGGGCGTTGTGCTGCAGGATGGGACGGAGGTGAGGAGCAAACTGGTGCTGTCCAATGCCTCCCCCCAAATCACCTTCCTGGAGCTCATCCCCCAGGTACGGGGTGCAGGGGGCTGGTGGGGGCTTGGCATGGCAGTGTCCCCTGGCCACACCACCCCTCACGACCAGCCTCTGCACCGGCATCTCCCACCCCAGGAGCAGCTGCCCAAGGATTTTGTCCAGCGGATCCAGCAGGTTGACACGCGCTCCCCGGTCACCAAGATCAATGGTAGGTACTGGCAGGGCCACCTCTGCCGCTGTCCCTGCTGGAGGGACACTGGCTACAGGCTCAGCAAGAGGCTGCACCCCACTTCCCCATTCCCACCACCCATTCCCAGTGGCGGTGGATCGGCTGCCCAGCTTCCTGGCTGCCCCCAATGCCCGCGATGGCCAGCCCCTGCCCCACCACCAGTGCTCCATCCATCTCAACTGTGAAGGCACCCACCTCCTGCACCAGGCCTTCACTGAGGCCACCCATGGGCACCCCTCCAGCAGGTAGGAGACCACACCAGCACACCATGCTGCACCAGGGAAGGGGCAGCACGGGCACAACGGGTGGTGCTGAGGAAGAGGTTTGGGGTGGCTGGGTCTCCTGCCTGCCTGGCTCATGTCCTGCTCCCCCAGGCCCATGATCGAGCTCTGCATCCCCTCAGCGCTGGATTCAGGGCTGGCCCCACAGGGCTGCCATGTTGTGTCCCTCTTCACCCAGTACACCCCCTTTGTGCTGGCAGGTGGGCAGCACTGGGATGAGCAGGCCAAAAATGCATATGCGGACACAGGTATGTAATGCATACATGGACCCAGGTAACACCAGCAGTGCTGGTCCCTTCCTGGGGTTAGAGCTGCCCTGGAGCTGCTCAGGGGCTCACTACCATGCCCGTGCCCACCCCTCCATCCCTTTCTAGTGTTTGACTGCATCGAAGCCTATGCCCCAGGGTTCAAGGCATCAGTCATTGGCAGAGACATCTTGACACCACCTGACCTGGAGAGGATCTTTGGGCTGCCTGGGGGGGTAGGTACCATGCTGGCTTAGCTCTGAGCATCACTCTGGTG